CTGAGGCCAGAAAGCAAAGAAAGGCTTCAGCCTCCACCTGCCTCTCAGTGGGGGGTCTGAGGAAGTGGGTGTCTCCCCAGGACTGAGACTCAGTGTGTGAAGGCCCAGCCAGAGCCCAGGTGGGGGCTACTGAGGGGCCCTGTGGCTGGAGGACAGGTGAGCCCAGGTGCAGGCTCCTCTGATCTTTGTGTATCTCTCACTCTCACCCTCACGCTCACCCCAGAACCTGCAAGGCAGCACAACATGTAGCTACCTGCTAACCCTTCAAATACAGGGATGGCAAAAGTAGGCGAATAATAATAATAAAGAATACAATAATTAATAAATAATGATACAAGAATCAGCTCTGTGTTTCAAGTGCTCACAACTGTGGGCCTACATTTGACCGCCCCTGTATAGTCTAGCTTGCCATCTTGGAGCTTTAGTTCATACTGTTCCCCACGCCCGCTCGGTAATGGCCTTCTCCCCCACGGCCTCAGGCCCACTCCTACCACGGTAAGTGCCATCTCTGCGCTTAAGCCTTCCCTCCTTCCCCTGCCCCCAGTGAAGGTCATCTCTTTTCTTCTGAGCACTGGTCTGAACCCAATGCAGGGCCTTTTCACAGTCTATCGCAGAGTCTAGAAGTTTATGTCCCTCTGAAATCTCCTACCGGACTGTTAGCTCAAAGAGGACAACTTTCCTTCCTTACCACCTCCCCCAAGGCCCCATATTAGATGATGTTCAGAATCTACCTGTTGACTCATTGGATGGATGGATGGATGGATGGATGGACCAATCAAGTGATCAATTGATAAATAGATGGAAGGATGGAAGGACAGAGGGTAAGGATGAATGGGTATTCAGATGGATGAGTGAGTGGCTGGGTCACTGAGAGAGGGCAGGTGATTGAATGTGCGGACAGAGAGGAGAGGAAGATGGGTTGCTGAGTGGCTGGGATGGGTGGATAAATGGCAAATAGAAGGACAGACGGATGGAGGGGTACTTAGATGAAGTTGGTAAGATAGACCTGCTTGGGAGAAACTAAGATGGCGGCAGAGATAAACACCGGGAAATTAATGCCGCTCACAACAATTGATTAATACCTCAGAGAAACAATACGGACTTTATCCAGAACCACAGGAAGCCTGGCTGACTGTAAATTCTACAACTAGAAGGAAGGAAAGGCACACTGAGAGCAAGAGAAGCTGCAGGAGAGAAGCGCAGAAGTACCGGGCTCGCGTGCGCGGAAAGGGGCTGGCACCCGAGGACGCGGCGGTCTTT